CCTTCACCAATGTCCCGCGCAATGTCTGCAGCATGGCTGACGGCTCTATCCGAGACCTTTGCTGCCAAGAATGCAGACACGGTCTCGAGGAACGAGCGCCAGGTCTGCTCCGTGATGCCATAATTGAGAAGCGACGGTGCATATGCAATCAGGAAGGGCGAGGCTGCGTCGGGTTTCTCCTGAGGAATGGCGATTGGTGGCTGCTGGTGCAGTGGCTGGCTGCTTGAGGTTGAGCCGCCTGCAAAGTTGGCAGCAGAGTATGCGGGAAGCTCCTCGTCTGCAGGGAACTGGAAGGGTGCATTCACAGTCGGCACCCCCGCTGCCTCCGAGGCATCATATGCTGGCAGTGGTTCCTCGTTGGGGTGAGGTGCGGCCGCGGCAGACGAGGACGAGCCTGCCGCTGGTGTCGGACCCGATCTAGACCCGGAAAATGGGTTCCATGAGTTTTTCTCCTTGGCAGACGCCTTCTCACTATCGCCAGCCTTGTCTCCCATGGTTTGATCTTTGCAATGGGCCTGTACGTGCTACTGGCAGCGAGCAATGCGTGAAGGAGGTTTGTTGAGACGCCATGGCTTGCTCTCCGGCATGTAATTGCCGTAAGGCAGAGAGAGCGGTATTGGGTTTAGTTACATAATAAGATCCATGGGCTCTATAGAAGCAGCTGTTTGAGCGCGCAGACCGTCAGCAATCAGAGTTCCCTGCAAATGGATCGATCTATCCGCAGGTGTCTTTTAGCGACATGACGCACGCTCAAGAGGTGGCGCCGCCCCTGTTTGGTGGTTTAGGTTAGCGCCAAGTGCCCCCGTAAGCTCCCAAGCTCCAACTCTGTGCAAAGTATCAGCCATTGAAGGAGCCTCATTGCCCCCGGCCATTGATTGCGCATTCGTACCCTGATTCCCATCAGGAATCGCTCGACGGCCACAAGTCATGCATGGAAATGATTGATCGGTCGCCGCATCAAATCCTCAAGTTGAAGCGCTGGTTCTCCCTTGACCGGGGAGTCGCGCCATCTTCGAGATGTACTGGCCCATAGCAACTCCGCGCATCTATGCTACGAGCAGCAGTCGGAACACAAGCCCCCATCTCGTCAAGTCTCATGATGGACTGTCCTCCATATCCGAATCAGAGGCCGCTACCTCCTTGTCGCCCAGCGACGCCGTCTCCAACTCCAGCTCCAAGCTAGCAGTGCCTGGCCCATCCGATACCCCATCACTGGCACCCAAAACACCCAAGACTCCGGCTGTGCAGTCTGTCGAGCGAGATGATGATCCAACAGATCCCTCACGCCAGAATAATGCGGCTGATACACCGGTCGGCCCGATTCCCCTCAAAGATCCTATCCTCGCTCTCCGGGTCTCACGAACTGGTAATCTGTTCGTCGTCATAACCAAGACCGCAATCACTGTATGGCAGACAAAGGTAAGAAATGGATCGATGTCTTGCTCGTCTTGCTCCTTGGAGAATGGGATTCTGATGTTTAATACTGTAGCCAACCGTGGTTCTCGCTTCTGTTGTCCGATCAGAGTCATCTATTCACCTCTACGGCGACAATGTCAATGTATTCCTTCGACCAGACTCGGCAATCCTCGTCGTGCACACATCGAACGGTTATCTCATCACGTACTCTCTAGCCACCGATGGCGAGTCCAGCGTTTACAAATCAACCTTTCCTAACTATCACAACATCCAGCGCCGGAGGCAGCATCTATCTCCCGGCCAGGCTGCCCTACCACCCGATGATTTTCTCTGGGGACCTGGCGAAGGCTCCGGAATCCGGGACGTCAGCGTCCGTTTTCGAATGGTAATAAAGGTTGATGCTGGAATCGAGTGTGCCTTGGCATTGGATGACGAACTAGTCGTTGCGACCCGGAAACCGGCTGCAGTCCAATGTATTCGATGGACCCCTGACGGCGAGGGCAAACAGACGAAGACGGAATTGATCAGCAAAATGGACTGGACGGAAAAAAAGGCCATCATAACTGAAATGACCTATGATCGCCCTATGAACCTCATGACTTGGATAACCAACGAGGGACGAGCGTCTGCTGTTCAGCGCTACCATCATCGCCCAGGTAGTCGTGATGCGAAAGAAGCGGACGCCAAGCGCCTCTTTAAGGGGCACTGTTTCCATATCCCCAAGTCTGAATCGCAGTATGCGAGGAGAGCTGTTATCAACGCACGATTCTCCCTGATTGCTGTGGGCTGCCAAGACGGATCCGTTCAGGTATATTATGTCAGAGACTATGCTGGAAATGTGACGCTCTCGCACACACACCAGATCCCCGTGTCGTCCTCAGCCTCTGGTGCTTTCACCACACTGAGCTATTCGCCAGATGGGTATTGTCTCTTTGCAGGCTTCGAAAAGGGATGGTCAACCTGGTCCATGTATGGAAAGCTTGGCAGTAATAGTTTCGGCTCGGAAGAGATCATTTCTAAGATCAATGGCGAAGAGTGGCTTCGCGGGCTCACCGAGGCGTCATGGATTGGAGGTGGGACCGAGATCCTCATGGTTGGACGACAGCATGAGGCAGTCTGGTCACTGGAGATGGCTAAGAGTGCGGTGACGGGCTGCTACAACGAGGCAAATGTGCTCCGCAGCGTCCTTCAAACTCCTACGAGTGTAATGGTCTATCGGGGATATGATCTTCCTGACCTCACAAGCATCTCAGCAGAGCCTTTTCTCTGGCATACCTCAAGAGTGCCGGCATCGTATTTATTAAAACAGTGGCCGATACGGCAAACCGTCATCTCTCCAGATGGCCGGTACGTTGCAGTCGCGGGTCGTCGTGGACTAGCTCACTATAGTGTCAATAGTGGGAGATGGAAGACGTTTGACAACGAGGCGGCAGAGAATGAGTTCCAGGTACGCGGTGGCATGTGCTGGTACCAGCACGTGCTCATCGCTGCAGTTGAATGCAGCAACAAATCCTTTGAACTTCGATTGTTCTCGCGCGAGACCGCCTTGGATAACGCACGCGTTCTTCACAGGGAGGAACTTCCCGCACCTGTGGTGTTAGTGACCACTTCGGGTGACGATTCGCTTCTGGTATACACATACGAAAATCTTCTCTATCACTACATTCTTGCGCCATACAATGGGTCTATCCGTCCCATCCAGGTTGGGCAGATTGCTTTCCACGGCATTATTAGATCGCCGGCACGAGTGCGAGCATTAAGTTGGCTACTACCAGATAGTCAGGTTAGTGATGGGGATCCTTCGCAGGATGTCGTCGTGGCCTCGGTGATTTTTCTGGTTGATGGCAAGCTGGTTTTATTATCACCCTCGCTCAATGACGAGGGACATTTGAAATACGATATGCGAGTTATTTCACAAAATGTGGAATACTACGCAACTATGAGGGATCAACCTCTTCTTAATATCACTAGGCAGGGCGAGGATAGCATTCCGTCCCAAGGGCCTTTGGCATTGAAAGACTCACTTTGGGTGTTTGATGGGATGGAGCTGAAGGCGTGGACTGACCTTGGCGAGGTCCTCGAGGCTGTATCCGATGGCAGCACGAGAGAACTGCCAAGTGCGGTGTCCATCCCTGTTGACTTCTACCCGCTGTCTGTTCTTTTAGAGAAGGGAATTATTCTAGGTGTTGAGTCGGATTTGGTCCAGCGGAGAGATGTGTCATTCTCCTTCTTTCACTTCGCAATCAGGGTAAGACTACCATTTACTTCAACGATAGCCCCATGGTAGAGTCCCTTGCTAACTTTACAGACTCATCTTGTTCTACCTGATATCCTTCGCTTTTACCTTCGCCTCAACCGGACAGAGGAAGCAGCTGCTTTGGCACAACAATATCGATCGCTGGAGTATTTTGCCCACGGATTAGAAATGCTATTGCACCGTGTTCTGGACGAGGAAGTAGACACGTCACCAGAACCAGCAGACGCTGTTCTACCGCGCGTTCTTTCCCTTCTTTCCTCCTTCAAGGAGTATCTTGATGTTGTTTTGCAGTGCACCCGAAAGACGGAAGTCCGACAATGGAAGACCCTATTTGCTTATCTTCCTCCCGCGCAGGAACTATTCGAGGAATCTTTGCAGCGAGGTTCCCTGAAAACGGCGGGTGGCTACTTGATCGTGTTGCATACCCTGGAAGAGCTTGAGGCAGCGACCGAACAATCGGTGCGGCTTTTGTCAAGGGCAATGAACGAGGGCGAGTGGGACTTGTGCAAGGAGCTGGCCCGTTTCCTGGCGGCCATGGATGAGACTGGAGAAGTGCTCCAGGAAGTGATGAGGATGGTGAACATTACTGTCAACGATCCGCAACAAAATGCGGTTGCCAATCGGCTGGCAATCCCACCGCGCACTCGCACAAATGGAACAAAGCGGATCGTCACCACAGACGATGACAGTGTTGATTCGGATAGGCGTTCTGGTAGCGATGCTGCAAGCATCGAATCCTTGGATAGCCCGCAAGGTCTCGGGCTTAGATTTGCATGATGCGGCCCATCGGAGTTATTTGTTCTTGCGGTGATTTAAAGAGCCCGCCAATTAGATATCCTGAATTTGCGGTTGCTTTCTATATGCGTTGTTGAGAAAATCTAACGGGAATGGGTCGTCAATATTGTATATCTTGGACATGCCGTTTCCTGGAGAAAGGTTTATTATATAAACAACGGGTTTACTATCAGGCCACTGCTGAGGGAAGGTTACCCTGTAGCAACGGTGGCGAATATGAAACAATAATATATTCATAATGAAAGGCAACTGTCATTGGCGCGCAGAGGAGGTCGATATGATGAACATGCATCCGAACCAACATGCCGACTTACATATGCATGGCTGCGTCGAGATGTGAACATGTATATAACTGCAATAGCGGAATAGACTAGGTGCATTTGTACAAGCGTTTTGTGATTTCATCATTTCCAGTTACTTACCACGTGGAATCCTAATCCGTGCATCTATTATGCCCCCCTAGTGAATGCTTGTAGGTTGCCTGGGTCTTTTACCCCAGGAAGAGGACGTTCCTGAGGGCAAGTCCTACACCATGTCCCAACAGAGTGGGTACCGGGTAGGCAGGGGATGGTGGTCGTGGGTCTGTGGTACGTACCCTGACATGTGAGGGGATCCCCCACTAAGAATTCTGTGTGCAAATGTACGTAAGTTGCGAACCTCTACCTATACTTTCTGACCGCTGCGGCTCGAAGCCAACTACCTCATCGCCGCTTGTCTCGCCGCCTTATCACGAGACCGAAAACGCCAACCACCGCAACATCCAGCACCGCCCGGCTGCTCTCGCGTTCAAGAGCCCATCCAGGCCTCCCAATTTCAACTGTGCCATTGCGTCCGGCCTCGTGAGCAAGGCGAGCATATTTTGATACCAGCGCGCCCCGCCTTTGCTACGCCTCGCGACCAGACGAGTCGGCCTGCGTGCTCGCCGGATTCTACCTGGGGATCCTCGACCAGGTTTCTCTCTGTCTTCGGGTCATGGTTGCTCGTGCTTGAGCATCCTTGCATCTGGTCCCCGCCCCCCCTCGTTGCGACACACCGGGGCGAACTGCTTTCATAATTGATTGACACGCCGATATCTCGACCATGGAGGACTTTGCGAGTGAGTCGGACAGCGACTACACTAGCTACTGGAGAGACTGGGTGAGTGCGACTGCATTGCTAGGGCTCAGGCAAGGGGGAGGTGATGCCTTTTTTCTTCCTGTTTCCAGGGGAGGATTACTTTGGAGCGTCACACACCACCCGCAACAAGCCTCGGCAGAACGCTACCACTGCCTGCCTGCCACATGCTTCATTTTCTACGAGGGGACAATTGCTAACTTTGTTTTTTTTGGATGGATTTAGTTTATCTCATCTAGAGGCAATGAGTACTTCTGCGAGATTGACGAGGACTACCTGACTGATCGGTTCAACCTGACTGGTCTTAACACGGAAGTACAGTATTACCAGTATGCGCTAGACCTCGTCACCGACGTTTTCGACCTCGACTGCGATGATGAGATGCGGGAGACTATCGAGAAGTCGGCCCGGCACCTGTATGGACTCGTCCACGCACGATACGTCGTGACCACTAGGGGGTTGGCCAAGATGGTATGGAAATTCTCCCTCCCCTCTCCTCGCCTCAACGAATTCATACGTGGAGTATTATCGTGTACATCCCAAGCTAACCGTCGTCCCATATAGCTTGACAAGTACAAAAAGGCCGACTTTGGCAAGTGCCCTCGCGTCATGTGCCACTCCCACCCCCTCCTGCCCATGGGCTTGTCCGACATCCCCAACCTCAAGCCCGTTAAGCTCTACTGCGCCCGCTGCGAGGACATCTACAACCCCAAGTCGTCCCGCCACGCCGCCATCGACGGCGCCTACTTCGGCACCTCCTTCCACAACATCATCTTCCAGGTCTACCCGGCCCTCATCCCCGCCAAGAGCACCGAGCGCTACATCCCGCGCGTCTACGGGTTCAAGGTCCACGCCGCCGCCGCCCTCGTCCGCTGGCAGAGCGCCAAGCGCGACGACATGCGCCGCCGCCTGCGGAAGCTCGACGTCGACACCGGCTTCCGCGGCGACGACGGCGTCGAGGACGAGGAGGAGGGCGATGTCGAGTTCGAGGGCGTGGACGGCGCCAGGATGATCGCCGCACCCGATGGCAACATCCGCTGAAGGGGAAAAGGGAATGGCTGGGTGAGGTGGATCAGCCGGCCGTTGTTTGTTTCTTCCCCATTTTGAAACGAAGGAAGGGCAAAAATCGCGGGCACGCTGACGAAATGGCGTCCCAAACCATCCGTTTATCTTCTTTCTTCACGGGCCTCCCCCATCATTGAATCTGCTAGGACTTTTGTTTGGACGGCGTTAAAGGAAAGAATGGTGTTATACGATTTCATAATACTAGTAGATAGTATAAATTTTCACGCGGGCAGACCTATACGCCTACATTATTCGACGCCCATGTGTGTTGATAATGGATATAGGAGCAGATATTACGTTCATCCGTCCTTCACCCAACCCAAAAGAAGCGTTTCATAATCTCATGTTTTTGCTCATTACTTTATAAGAATATGAAACTAACCACTGGTTGCTATAGCTGTAAACCCGAAGCGCCTAGACATTTCCGTCTCTGGGACCACCTGCCCATGTTTCCCCGACACATCTACAAATTAATACCGAATCTATGTCTCAAGGAGGCATCTCTGGCAATATAAACTGACTCGAGCAGGTTCAAACATAACAACACCAAGGAGGAGTCTATCTCATCTGGTGGATAACGTCTCCTGAATTATTGCATTCTCTGCATCTCGACATCGCGAAACTGTCCACCATTGCTATAGCCCGCATCATATTCCGCCGTGCGGTTAGTAGGACGGTGCGACATTTGATTGGGAGGGGGCATAGGGGGAGGGGGAGGTGGTATATCGGGGTTGTGCCGTCGCGCGTTGCCGGAGTTTTGTTCGGGCTTCCCCAGTGATGAACTGGAGGACATCTCGGGTTCCTGGGCATATCCCACACGCCCGACTCCCGCCCAAAAGGCCCTGTCGCTGCTGCGGGCACCCCACGCCCACCCTGCCCCGCGTTGGATAGGCAGATGATAATATCTGAAGCTGTAAACACTGCAGAGCAAGCCCATCAGGTACCCGAACAGAATGTCGAAGCCATGATGGCGGAAGTTCCACCAGCGTGACGCAGCAATGAAGATCGAAAGACAGAAAGGTGCGAGTGTGGCGGCAAGCAGGTATATCGGTGGCGCCGCGGCTTGCCGTCTAATTGACAGGATCTGGGCGTTGTGTTGGCCTTGGGCCGTCTCGGTGGCGCCGCGCGAAGGAAAGGCAGAGTGGTCGCGGGGCTTGTTTTGATCGGCACTCGGAACCACGAAGGGAATCGTGACGGCGAACTTGCTGGCGAGAAAGAGCGAGAGGTACACTAAGCCGGCGGCAGAGGAGGAGGAGTGACCACTTGGATAGCTTCGGAAGCCGTCTCGGAGCTTGGATTTGCTTGTTTGTTGACAGATGGCAGCTGAGTAGAGCCTTCCCAAGGGGTCCTCACCACCGAATCCGCCGACGACGTACTTGTCCTTGTTATCAAGGTCTGGGATGCAGCGAGCGAGGAGGTCGGGGCGAGGCTTTCCAAACATGTTCTTCATGCCCTGGGTGAAGAACCAGGCTGAGACAAGGGCCAAGGCGAGGCCCAGCCAGCCAACGTGGAGTTCCCATAGCTTTCTCCTCCATACGAGCGAATGGGGAGTGCCTTTTGGAACAGTGGCACCTGGGACGAATAATAGAGCGACAATGGCGACCAGAGCCGCAGGGAGGATGATGCTTAGAATAACGAGGAGCCAGGTGGGGACGGTCTCATGCTCTGTAAAAGGAAATCTTGCAGGGAAAGCTTCTAGTTAGTGTCTGGTTCACTGGGATATCTAAAGAAGGTTGGTCGCCTACGAGATATTGGGATCGTTGAGAGAAAATGGGCGTCTGTTGGGCTGGATGAACTCGAAGGCCAGGGCAATAAGGGCTAGGATGACGAGAACGATCCAATCGAAAATATACGAGAGAACCACCTTGAGGGGGAACCGGCGCTTCTGCGAGCGAATGAAGCTTGTCGACCTATCCATATCTGCGGCAGATGGATGGAAACCATGTGGGAGGGAAAGGACAGTGGAATGAGAGGCGGAGGGGGCAAGGGATATAGAGGAGGAAATAGCGCTTCCTGGCTATGCGTGTCGCAAACTGGTAAGACAGTCTGTCGACATGGAGGGAGAGGCCTGGAATGAGGCAGCGAGGCTTCGTCTGTTGGTGATGTAATCTGAATCACACGGGTGGGTGAGACCCGCCCAAAGACGTAGGCGGGCGGCACTAGCAAGTAATTAAACAAATTGAATTACCTTTGGCAGGGATGCGCCTTAATAGATAGAGTGCAATCATGCATATTTGTTCAAGTTTGAATTCTGGTAGTCTCAAAAATGGCAGAGAGTCGCGATGTTTTCACGCAGGGAAAGAGCGTTGCATCATGGCAGGAGCTGGATAGTATCAGAACCCAGACATTGATTTATGAGAAGCAAATAGACGGGATCTGCCCTTTCGTCGGTGCTTCCAACGAGCGAGATAACAAGATATTATTCGCGTACCCGGTACTTTCGGTACAAGTCGAGTTTTTCTGTTCATGTCATGTCATCGGGCTGTGCTCGCTTTCGGGCTTCACAACTGCTGGACAAGCTACTCGATTAGGAAGTCGCTCACATGTGGGCAGCTCCATTGAGGTCGCGCAGCTCTTTAGGTATTGCTAGTGCTATCTGCAATACTTCTGCGGCAGCTACTGCCAAGTACTTCCGGGGTCGTGGACGGCTGTGAGTTCACTAGATCGTGGCGGGAATCGACCTATTGTGCTAAAGTATGTAGGTCCCGCGTGATAGCAGCCTCAAACCCTTGCAATTCTCCGGGGCTCGCGGGGCGATCGGTGGGGGTTCGAGCTTCCAGTGATCTCATTTGGGGCTAAGCAGCGCCCATTACAGCGCCAGAATCTCCCGGCTTATGTGGGGGATTGTCTCATTCGATGACCTCGTATGGGAGCATCCTCCCGCGCCTTCCGCAAGTTTGATGTATGGGGTTGATAAGGCACTCAGGAAGCCTTTGGAAGAAAGCTACGTATCCTCAAAAGAATGCTAGAATTCTCAAGAAAACTACTCAGAAGAAAAAGGCTCTCAAGAAGACGAAGGTAGTTCAGCCAAGGGACTCCTTGCGGGGAGAAAAGGGAAAACAATCTGTTGGTTCCAAAGCAAAGAAAATCAGCACAGTGAAGGGAGCAACTAGAAAGAGCTCTGTAACCCCCAAGAGTGGCCTTGAACGCCCTCAGAGTACCCAAAGTAGTGTGATATGCAATTCCAAGCCTCAGTCTACGCCCCGAACGAAGCCTGATTCCGAATGCCTTCGCAGTACCGTCGCAGTGTTGGTGATAGCTGTTCATACGGCTCCTCAGACGTAGATAGTCTTAGAGCTCACGTATCAAAGAAAAAAAAAGGAAGCATAACTAGAGATGCATCTGGTTCCCCGAACTCAAGTGATAGCTTAGGGTCAAGTAGTCTGAAAGCTAATGTTGAGTCTGTGCTCTCATCCATCTCAAATATTGCAGGAGAGCAATCCCACGGAGTTGACCGTAAGTATGGGCGGCCACTTTGACGCGCATAAGGTATTGGAATACCAAACAAATCAATAGTCAAGAGTACAAAAACTCAAGGAAGATCTGCCGCCTACAGAGAGCCCGAACGAGACGAGGAATAGACTTTTCAGTGAACATCCCGCTCGGGAGAACACGAAGTACAATATGAAAATTGGTGAAAATCGGGCTGGTGGTAAGAGAGTAGAGTTTATCATTCCTACCCATG